CCCGCGTCCCCTGCATCGGCAGGCGGACTCTCAACCATTGCGCCACCAGGGAAGCCCTACCCTGTGTTTTTTATATTTTAATTTCTCCTGTCTTGCTTTATAAAAATGTCTAGCTACTATTACTATGCATATTATACTAGTTTAACTTAAAGTAGGACCCTACCTTTTTAAAACACAGTCTTCTTTTCCTTCCTTTGGGAAATTTCTATTGTGATGAGTGATTCTATTGTGATGAATTTTTAAGGGTTGACCTCCTAACATGACTCATGAACCAAATCCAATAAAAGGTATCCTCTAACCCAGTAATTCTGTTAAATTTCATCAGAATTTCCAAACTGGAAGATTTTTATTGAGACACTACACTATCATAAAGAAAATGGTGAATTTCATAAGACATTTCTATCACTTTGAAATTGGCGAAAAATCAAATTAATAGCCTCCTTTGTATGTACTATTTTCACCAAAGAATAATTTTTTAAAAACATTATCATATCTAAATCTGTTCTCCTACCCATTCCCCATTCTGAGTTAATGCTGCCTTCTGATTTTATTTTGTGGTTGGTTTGGCAAATAACCTGTCATCATCCGTTCAGAGAGAACAGACCTAGGCACCAAGGTACAAGTTGCCTTCACTCTGGCATTAGAACTACATTAGAGAAAATACTTAACTAAGCTTAGGTGAGGGGTTGGGCTAAGGTCCAAGATCATCTATGTGATTACTTTCTTTCAAGTCAGAAAAACACTCAAATTAAAAAATAACTACTGCAGGATTTCTAACTAGTTTCCCATGAACTCTATACTTCTTTTTTCCCCTTCCACCTTTCATTTCTTCCCAAGAAATTAGAAGTGAAATGATAAGAAATCTTCATATATTAAGGAAGAATAGAAGTGGCCTTGTCTATAGAAGATATTTTTAAAATTGAGAAATAAGTCAAAACTATGAAAGGGTCTTTTTGTTAGTTTCCTATTGTATTTTTTGGTAAATTTGTATGGAGGCATCATAGGGAATGGAAACACGCGCATTCTTAAAGGAAGTAAAGGCACATGTCCCAGCGTAAGTGGCTTGAATGTAATGTGTTCACCTCTTTGTGGTGACTGTTGGGTATTACAGCCCACATGGCTTCCCTGCCACTCACACTGTCCCTCCCACCACCTTCAGCATTCAATATCATTTATTTTGTTCTGAGCTCAAGATCAAATTAATTATGTTAAAATTGTTAGTCTTTTTTAGAAGAAGCATGCAATGTTTTATATAAAGAAGTATATTTATTCCATATACGTTTAACAATTTTTACAGCTAACCAATAACAATTAGAGGCAGCTGTGACCCGTTTTGGAATTTACTGTTTCTCTAGTAGTAGCCAAAGGGTCTCAGATACAGAACTGTTTGAGGTGGTCACAAGGAAAGGCTGATAGAAACTGTGCTTCAATTTCTTAATACATGTGATAGTTCTTTAAAAATTACTCTAAAGTTATACTGTTTTCTGGCTACAGTAGTCTCCTTTGTGCAGATTTGGTAAGATTGGACTTAATTGATTGTGGTTTTAGTATTTGAGCTTTGAAAACTCCTGAACTTGAATTTCTTTTCAAAATCCAAGCTTGAGAACCCATTTTTTTTATTGTTGTTCAGATAGAAGACTTCCCAGAAACAGAGTCATCCCTGATTTGCTTGGTTTCCACAGTACTAGAGACATTTCAAAGGTCTAGGAATAGACAAAACTTAGGAACATCATCTTGGAACTTCCCATTGTTAAAACACTTCACATTAGTGTTCAAGACTCTTGCTAATTAATGCATGAAATGTATTAATTCCATTTTAAATGTTAATTCCATCTTAAAAGATGTGTATTAATCCGTGTGTGTAATTAATTGCTTCCAGATGCTCCATGCTCCTTTCAAGCAGTGTTCTCATTAATTAGTCCTCTTAATATTCCTAAGAGGAAGAAAGGGGACAGTTGTTTGATGTTTACTTAATTGAAAGAGGCATTTATACACCGAGCTGATAGATCATTTGGTGAAAATTATTTAGAGAAAAGTCAACAGACTATTGGGAAAGAAATTTGGTCACCGGAGTGGGGCAACCCTCTGCCTCTCTTTTCTGCTTCACAGTCCACGCAAGCATTTAGTTCACACGGTCATTCCTCTTAAGGGGAAAGGATAACAGAGACTTCTTTTCCCATTAAAAAGTTATTTTTAAGGTCATGCATTCTAATTGTTAAAAAAAATGCAAACAAGAATCAAATGAAAATTGAGTCTCCTTCACCCTCCTTTGTTGCTTTCTGGTACAAAGAGTTTAGACGTTTATCAATGATGAGTTAAGCACACTGATCAGTGGTCACTGTATTATTAAGTCCTATCTTTTAGTCTCAGATTTAGCCTTTATTTAAACTATCGCTCTTTCTTACTGTTTTTATTATTATTGTTTTTAACCTTTCTCCAATTTTTTTCCATCCTAGTTTATTCCCATGCCTGTACTCTATGGCGTGTTCCTGTATATGGGGGTAGCATCTCTTAATGGTGTGCAGGTAAGTTTTCCATAGCAATCTGAGCATATTTTTCTCGTAGTATTAAAAACAGTCCAATAATAGGTCATTGAAGAAAAGTGCTAATCCTTAACTGCTGAGTTTTTAAAATGCATTTATTTTCTACTTTCTCCACCATTCACCTGTGTTTCTGATTTAATTAATAAAGTTAGCTTGTGTTAACAAATGTTATCATACATACATACCCATTCTCGAAATAAGCTGTTAGAAGCCATTTGGCTAGGAAAGTGAGAGAGCTATCTCTGACCTTCCTTCCTCCCTCCCTCCCTTCCTCCCTTCCTTCCTTCCTTCCTTCCTTCCTTCCTTCCTTCCTTTGATGGAAATCTAACCTTTCAGTGTGCTCGAGGTACTGTTTATCCATTTGCCTTTACCTTATACTAAGAACAGGCTATTCTTATTTGATGTGCTTTTCGCATGGCTGAGATCATTGATCAAAAGTTTTGCACCAATAAAAGAATCAAGTCAATGTGGTTAATGTGCTACTTTTGTCAAAAACTTCAGCTGTCACATGGTGGATAAAACCGGCCCTCTTTTAAAAAAAAATCATTAGGGGAGACTTTGTAAGGGACTTTGTCTTTCAATTGAGGTTTAATTTAATTGGCACCAGGAAACTGGAAGTATTGCTGCTGCTTTCTGGCACCTTGTTAACTGTAGCCTTATTTAGCACTTAGTGATGTTTTAATGGGAAAAAACTGCATGTTCTGTGAACATCATAAGAATTTATTTAAACCCCTTCGTAATAGTCCTTGCTTTTATTTATTGAATCTAGATTAATTGATTTTAGAGTCAGATGGAGCTGGGCAACTGGCCAGACCCTCAAAAAGAGAAAAGGCTATTTTATTTTTCCTTGTTTAGGTCCATTGAGTAGAGTTCTTCACCATTTGGATATTTATTACAAAATACAAGGTGGTTTTTCATAGATGGGACTAGACGAATGTGAACGTGGGCTTATTTGTGCCCGTGAAATTTTGGGGAAGTATAAATGTGTAAAAGTATTTTTACCTGACATTGTAAATATTCCTTATTACTTTAAATGGAAAAATATGAAACAAATATGGTCCCCAAATTAATAGTTCTTATTTTTGTTTGGCCTAAATAAGTCAGTCTAGATCAGAAGTTTGATTTTATGTGTTCTAGGTGTGTAATAGATGGTTGGAGCTTAGTACATGTGTATTAAGTTAAATAGAAGGGGAAAAAATCAGCGATTCCATAACAATGGGGAAAAAAAATCCCTTGCTGAAGAGACAGCTAGTGGATTTCTTAAATTCTGCCATTGTGTTGCCCTATCACCTTTTCCCTTTACTTTTCTCTTGACTCTTCTTCTTTTAGACCTTTTTGGCAAGATCTGAGTTAGCAAAAAATTATATTACTCCAGTCTTTATAAATGGGAATACTTCTACCAGTCAAAAATAGCTCTGGAGGAAGAAAGAAAACTCTTTAGATATGAAATCACTTCAGAGAAGATTGTGATAGTCTATTTACCTTTACATTTTTCTCTTCCCTCCAGCAAGAAAGTAGAGATATTATTTCAGAGTTCTTATTACATAATTATTCAATTCAACAGCTATTTAGTGAGCATCTTACATCTGAAAGTTCCTATGATAGGTACTTAAGTATCACCCTTATCATCAGCATTGATGTAAACTCAGCGGTTTTTCTTTGAAGCACAGCACCTGGCACATAGGTGCTCAGTAGTCATTTTAGTACCTGTTTATACATGACAGTGTAATAGCTTCTCCTAGATCAGGTATCTAGTTGTTGATGCTGTGAAACTCACTGCAGTGTTCATGTGGCTTTTCTCTGAAAAGAAATGCTAATTCATTGCTAAATGTATTAGTTAAGTTATGCCATAGATAAATAATGTGGAATTTATGAAAATACCAATGCATTCCCATTTTCAAGTCAGATAGTTCCTTTATATACTTGAAACATTATTGAAATATATGTGATACATAGCATCTCCTCTTCTTTTCAGATAAGACAGCTGCGGCACAGTTAGATACATGAGTTTGATGTCTCCCTTCAGCATATTATTACTAGAATAATAGGCACAAGATCTTCTCTCCTAAGATGCAGACAATACAAGTAGAATGTAGGAGATGAGCATCTTTATTTTATATTTGGCTTTGAAACTTTATTCTTTGGTGGCCACTTTATCTCATATAGCTGCATAATATTCCTGCAAAGTAATAACATAAATTGGAAGGCTCATACTATGTCTTACTGTGTTAGACTATATTTCTGCACTCCCTGGCCAGTGTCCTCTAACACGGACATCGCTTGCCTAAATTGTAGAATATAAATCACTAGTGGTTAGTTAGACAGAAAGAGATGACTTGGTGCTGCAGCTCTTGAAGTAATGTACTTGTCCTCTCTTTACCTTTCTTCTCCCAGTTCATGGATCGTCTGAAGCTGCTTCTGATGCCCCTGAAGCATCAGCCTGACTTTATCTACCTGCGCCATGTCCCCCTGCGCAGAGTCCACCTGTTCACTTTCCTGCAGGTGCTCTGTCTAGCCCTGCTCTGGATCCTCAAGTCAACTGTGGCTGCTATCATTTTTCCAGTCATGGTAGGGATTGTTTTAATTGAACCTACCCATGAGGTCACACCAATATCATGTGGTTATTGTAATATTGATGACACATGTGTCTTTTATGGATGCTTCCAGTTTTTTTTCCAGCTTTGACCTAATCAGTTTGATTGGTTGTAATTTAAGGTTGCCAGGTCTGTGGTTTATCTAGGCTTGACCTTGGAGTCAGACAGCTGAGTTCAGATACTGGCTCTGGTTCGTGCTGATCAGTGAACTTCCCTGAGCTCCCATCAACTCATCAGTAAAATGAGAGCGGCATCTTTGTTTTCATTCTGAGCATCAATAATGAATGTAAAGTATATAGCACAATGCCTGACACATGGTAGACACAAGTGCACATAACGTTAGTTATTTTTAAAATACTGCTGTACATTGGAATTTGTCTAAATAACAGAGTACAGCACATTTCAGGCCAAATAATAGAGCACCAGTTTGGCAACTTATGAGAGATCATCCAGTGAATCGAAGAAATGGAGAGAGAGGCTTAATTTTTTGCAGTTCTCCTTTGTATCATGCTAAGTTTAAGGATAAGTCTGGGCTCTCTCTCCTTGCCGTGTTACGATGAGAAAGAAAGTGAAACAACTAACATTCCACTCTGAATCACAAGTGAAAGAAGGGCAAAAGGAAACAATAACTCTGTATTTGGCTTCATCATTGAATTTGTGTGTGTGAAATAATGCTATGGTAGCTTGTAATATCAATATAATATCATGTAATATCAATAGGTTAGATGTTATTAATTTCTCTAAGAGATGAAGAGGCTGACATAGAGCATAATATGGATAAAGACAACTGTTCATTTGAGGCAGGGCCAGGACTTCTGAGTCCTACTGCATACTAATTTTACTGTTGAGCAAAGACATCTCTAAGATCCCTTCAAGAGCAATTCATAAAATCAAAGATACAGAGTTCAAGAATACTGGGGTTAGAGTTGGAAAACTGGGACCCTTTGTATTCTTCCTTTATCTGGCTTTGTGATCTTGGATAACTTACTTATGTCACTAAGCTTTAGTTTCCTCTGCTGTTGGATAGATACTAACATCTACCTTTCAGGTTTGTTGTGGGAATAAATGAGAAAATATTGTCTAAGAGTTTAGCACAGCGTCTGACTCAAGATAAGTATTCAGTTAATGGTGGTGATTGAAGTTGCCCCAGCAGATTAAATAGTCTGTGCAAACTCAGATGCTACCTCATTATTAATACTTTGAAGATGTCTCAGTCTACTGTGCGTTGTACAGATTTTCTTGGCTTTCAAAACCCTGTGTAATGTTTTAATTTTGAATAATTAGAAATCATACACAGGCTGTTTTTTCCCTTGAAACTTCTAGTTATTTTATTAAAAATCTGACATGAAAGAAAATGGTTTAAAAAATAATCTTTTCATATGGAAATTCCAAATGAAGTGATCATACAGTACAGTGAACAAAATACAGTGAGTTAAAGTAAGACTTCTATGAACCAACTTTCTCCATGAAGCAGATGTTTATGGTCTGCATAATGTCAGTCCATACAAGCAAGATGAGTTCTGTCATACTCTAGACTTGTACAAAATAGGTTTCTACTGACTTTGCTAGGGCAGTATTAATACTCACTCTGACTTCTCTGACATGGGTTCTTTCCTACTTTTTATATTTATTCTTCCAGATCTTGGCACTTGTAGCTGTCAGAAAAGGCATGGACTACCTCTTCTCCCAGCACGACCTCAGCTTCCTCGATGATGTCATTCCAGAAAAGGATAAGAAAAAGAAGGAGGATGAGAAGAAAAAGAAAAAGAAGAAGGGAAGTCTGGACAGTGACAATGATGATGTAAGGAGCTTTCTAAAATTCCGAAGTAAAATTCCGAAGTTAGTTAAACAAATGTGAAGATGGTATTTTTTTAACCCTTGTGTGCGATGTATGACTGAATTTCAAGGATGTTTACCTGGTCATACTACTTGTCACTTTTCACCTGCCTTTGCCCTTTATTTTGTCTCTTTATTTTTTTTTAAGTATTTTCTGAAGTCTTTCTGTAACTGTGAATACACTGATAATGATATAATGACTTCTAAAAAAACAAAGCCCACCATATATAAAAAACTTCAATCTCTGATCTTGTACATAAAAAGGAAGCTTGTTTCATAATGCTATAAAATGTATTGGGTTTATTCTTGATAATCCAGGATTTAAATTTGAGATAATAACTCAGTTTTACATAATTTTAAGTCTAATGTGGGCAAATGCTGGTGACCTCACCTCCTGTGATCTGTGTATCTATTTGAGTGGGCTCTCAACCAAAGTTCTCTGCTATTGTACTTATCCTTGCATTGGGATATGACATGATTTGAGATCACTTCTCTGTAACCTTTCAATAAAAAGAAACGGAAATTGGAATTTGGGGTCTTTCTACATAATTGTAGCAGTCAGTGTCATAATTTAGGTGATCCTCTTGCAATCATATAACTAAGTTGAGAAATAAAATGTCCACTTTTTAGGAAGCCATTTCAAAGAAATCTTGGTGTTTCAGTTGGGGTCTGTGATCAGTGCTAAGAGAAAATCTGGGATTTGCTTTTCTTTAACACACACACACACACACACACACACACACACACACACACACACAAACACCCCAATAGCTTATCTCAGTAGCCTTTTGAAAGGACAGCCAAAATGACACCTTCTATATGAAGATTTGTAGGTTTGTTCTAGATTTTCCACAGTGCAGTATCCCCATTCTAGTGGAATCCCCAGTATCTCATTCTAACATGGGAGTCTAGTTAATTTTTGGTGTCTGCTCTGTACTTGATCATTTTGATGGATCAAGCATACTTTGTTCTTAATTGCTAAAGCAGCTCTTTATAGTATATTTTTGTTCCTATTTTACAGACGGGGAAATTTAGACTGAGAAATGTTAAGTCATTTTTCTAAGTGTACACATATTGGCAAAGGCAAAACTCTCATCCAGGCCTGTCTGGTTATTTTCGATTGGTCAGGCTGTCTGATTGTATTATTTTTGGAGAACTTGGAAACAGTACAGTGAAGGAAGGCAACAGACAAAATTGGATTTCAGATAAATTGATCCAATAAGAAAAGGCTAAATATATGAGGCACATTTAGCTAAAGAGAAAAAGAGTCTGAGGGAGGTTTTGTGACTGTCACCATCCATCTTCAATGAGAACATGTATATAGATTTTCTGTTTCCAATGATGACAGAAAAAGAATGTGCTTAAACTGCAGAACAGATTAAGATGCAGTATTAAAAAGAACGATGCGTTTACACATTGAATAGAAATCAAAATTTGAAATAAATTTCTAGGCTACTCTAGACAAAAAAAAAAAAAACCTGCCTGAAATACTGAGATAATTAAAGCAGTATTTTTTTTTTTTTTGCGGTACGCGGGCCTCTCACTGTTGTGGCCTCTCCCGTTGCGGAGCACAGGCTCCGGATGCGCAGGCTCAGCGGCCATGGCTCACGAGCCCAGCCGCTCTGCGGCATGTGGGATCTTCCCAGACCGGGGCACGAACCCGTGTCCCCTGCATCGGCAGGCGGACTCTCAACCACTGCACCACCAGGGAAGCCCAAAGCAGTATTTCATCTTGAATTTTCAAAACAAGTACCTCAGTTTATGTACATGGACATCAAACTTAAAATTCATTATACATTACAAATGTATGAAATAATATTATAGAATCCTCTTCTCTAATGGCTTTTAAGAAAAAAATAGTAATAAAATATCCACTTTTAAGAATGTTTTAAATTTAGTGCTCTCTAGTGTCAGAAGTTGGATCAAATGAGCTCCTGAGAAGGTCTTCTAAGTCTTAGATTTGATTTTCAACAAATCATACTTTATTTAAATAATGCTATTCTTATATTAATAATATTTATCATTTTGAATCCATATTTCCAACAGATTTCTTGAAGATAATGTGTGATACTTGTTTTTTTCTTTTCCTCTTTCTCTTCTTCCCCCAACCCCACCAAAACAAACAAACAAACAAGCTTATATATTTATCCTAGACAGTGAATCCAGCCAGAGTGTATCTGTATAATACGTTCTGTGTGTTGAGGCCATTATTTGGGGTTCTCCATCTGAAATGTAGCTGTCGTGATGTTCACCTGGTCATTGTGTGGTGTGGGATCCATGGATGTAGGGATCCACACAAGGGCATGGGAGTTCCAACTCTAATATTTGTGAGTAGTATTAGTGAAAATTATGGCTTGCCAATATTTTGAGCTGCTCAGTCATTTTTGAACCCGCCCAGTGGGCTATGATTAAGGGTTGGCTGCCAACCTGTTCATCTATAAATGCTATTATTGGGGGAAACTTTGAAATACTGTAATAAAACTTGTCCTTGACATTCTTACAAAGGTAGGGGCACATGGCATCTTCATTTTTTTTTTCAAGTGAAGTGCAATATTTTAATCTTTGAAAAGAATATTGTGGCTCATTACCCTCTTTAGATTCATCATAAAGAAATTTTCAATGTGCACAGTAGCTTTATGTTAAGATTCATTTTTTTCTTCCTTTCACCCCTAGTTCCTATTTTTTCCCTTTTAGCTAAAGGTCATCATCTCCTTGGTACTTTCAGTTAAGAGATGAATTCCATCTTTTGAGTCCAGGCATAGACATAGATTCAATATAATGAATTCTAAAAACAGTAAAGTGATAATCCTGTGGAAATATGTTACAGTTTTGGCTTAGGTGGTCTCCTCTTTAAGAAGCTTCATGATTAGCTGCCTGGTTTTATCATTTTATTTTGGCTATGATTTTTCTCTGCCTATCTGGCCATTATAGGCACCTTCCTTTTGACTTTATTTTCTCATGTTTTGCTAAGTTTCCAAATATACTTGGTGTGAGCAAATTGAGATGAGCCTTAAACTACACAATAGTTCTGATGGAATATTAGAGTAAGGGAGATGGTTTATTTTCAAGTCTATGTAAATGATCCCTTGTGAGTGGATATTAGAAAAAGTCTTCTTACCTGTCTTGGAAGGAAAGATAAGTCATCATATTCCTGGAGGTGGAATCAGAAAGCATAAATGAAACAAAAATTTCAAGACCATATTATAGTTTAGGAAGTCTCCTAAATTACAGTCTTTCACACTTGAGATTATTTCCTTCACACACACATACAACTAACCCATAAATATTTGCTTGCAATTCCAGCTTATGGAAAGCTTTACAATTGTTTAATTTGTAGTGATCTCAATTTGGTGTGGTTCTAGTTTTAATTGACTTAATCCCCTTAACTCAGAAGAGAAGAAAACAAATGTGAGGGGAAGATGCCATAAAATTTGAAAAGTCAGCAAAGGAGAAGTGATTATATCTAAGGCTGTTCTCCTTAGTACAATGTAAATGACAATATGATAGGTTTAATCAATACTGGGAGGTAGGGAGGTCTGTATAGTAAAATCTTTCTAAAAAGTGTTATAAATTTCTTTCACAGTCTGACTGCCCATACTCAGAAAAAGTTCCAAGTATTAAAATTCCAATGGACATCATGGAACAGCAACCTTTCCTAAGTGATAGCAAACCTTCCGACAGTGAGTAGAACTAACCTCTTGCATGCCAGCTTGAATATGATTTGCACTTACAGAGAAAAAACTTTAGGACTGTCATACTCATTAACTTTTCCTCTGTTTTCTTTCTTTTTTTTCCTATGTGAAGATTTACATTGATTATTATGAAACTTCAGTTTTACATTCCTTGACCTTCACTCCTTACCTTTTTCTTTTATCCATAACCATTTAAGTTTTTATTTGGTCATATTTTCTCTGATCCAAGTTATCGCCGTTTTCTTTGAATTGTTAAATTCGTAACCATGTTTTTAATTGATTTCCCTTTTTTCTGCTGGTATGTAGAATGGCAGCTTCTAGTACTACATCACTGTCTGTTACTGTTTGTCTTCCTTAGGCTTCCACCAATGACCAAATCAGCTCAAAAGAGAAATTGCATAATGGATCTCTCAAAGATCAATGAATCAATTGTTAATACTGAGAATTTGGAATAACTGTTATTTTCAATTAAATTGGCAATCATAAAATATTAACAACCACTCTTTGGGTATAGCTTATAAGATATTTGCATTTTCTTCCTAATTTCTTCATTCCCTTTTTGCTGTTTCAAGATTACCTTTGTAACTGCGCTGGTCTTTCTGGGGTAATAGCCTGGCGGCTAAGGTATAATGGTTTTTGACCTGTCATCTTTGCTTTTGTAATTGAGTTAACAGGCCATTTGAAAAGGGTAAAAACCTCTGTGGTAACATTAGTGAATATCTCAAGCTTTACCAACAGCAAGCAGCAAGTGCCTCCAAACTACTTTACTTTGAGTTCTCATTTGAAGAAAACATATTCTTATAGATCCACATGCACTTCAAAGTATACTGATTGGTTACAGGAAAAGACAGTTGAAGTCCTTTTATTTCTGTTTGATAGTGCTGCTTCAACTTCAATAAGTTACCAAGAAAAGTTTGAAATGAATGACTATTTATGAAAAAAATGGGTATTTCAGTTATCTCTTGGTGTGTAACAAGTTACCACAAAACTCAGCAGCTTAAAACAACAAACCTGTATCTCCTCCCACAGTTCCTGATGTTCAGGAATTTAGGAGCTGCTGATCTGGGTTGATTCTGGCTCAAGGGCTCTCGTGAGATTGCAGTCAAGCTCTTAGCTGGAGCTGAGTCTGAAGACTGACTGAAACTGGGGATTTGCTTCCCAGCTCAAGCACAAGGCAGTTGGCAGGAGATTTTAGTTCCTTGGCTCATGGGCATCTGTTAGGGCTGCCCATGACATGGCTGCTAGTGATAACAGAGAAGAAACCAAGACAGAAACTGCAGTCTTTTATAATCAAATCTCAGGAATCATATACCACCTCCTCTGCCATATTCTATTGGTCACACAAACCAACCCTGGTACAGTGTGAGGAGAAATTATATAAGGACATGAATACCAGAAGGCAGGGTGCATTGGGGGCCATCTTGGAGGCTGGTTTAAAGCAAAGAGAATTAAGGCAATCTCACCTTTGGTGTCCAGTCTGTAGCCTGTAACTTGTGATGATGCTACTTTCTTCTCAATCCTATCAACAGGCTTTAGTTGAATATTTTCTTTGTAAGTTCAAGCTCCCCAAACCATTGTCTGGTTTCATTTTTCATTTCTAGAGCCTTAAATAGCAAAAAGAAACTATGAAAGGATGTCTTCTGTTGGCACAGCTCTTCTAAGTACAATTTAAAGGCTGCTTAAAAAAGAAATCATCAGCTAGAATTTGAGGCTCCTGGAAAATGTCTGTGGCAAGTTGGTTATTTTGTGCTAGTTGTTCTTCATTTTCTCAAAAACCCTTTAAAAGGATACACTGAAAGTAGTGGATATGATATTAGAAATTTACTTAAGCAAAATACCGATGATCATTCTAAAATCTTTTCCAGTATCATATTAATCCATGAAAGAACAAAATTGATAGTAGAGTTGCAGTATAAGTAAGTTTCTCAAAATCTTTTTTTTTACCTGCATGAATAACAGCAGGACAAAATTATGAATGCTGAAGATAGCAGGAAATCCAAGGACAAGCCTTAGACATTAAGTAGGCGCTATCACCCTCTAGAAATGATTTACCCTGCCCCCTCGCTGAAAAGAACAACATTGGCCCATTCTAGAAAACCTAGAATAAAAGAGACTGAGTGACTTTGACTTCATCACACTACTTAGTTTCTTAGCTTGATACTGTGTTTATTGAAATCGTCTAAACTTGTCTTTCTTACTCTTTCCAGTTGTGAAAGATGCATCCATTTTTGTGAAGATTTTAAAATTTTTCATTCTAATGTTATACTTTACCAATGACTATTATTTATGATTTGAAAAAATTTTTTTCTTTTTTAGGGGAAAAATCACCAACATTCCTTGAACGCCACACATCATGCTGATAAAATTCCTTTCCTTCAGTCACTCGGTATACCAAGGTAAAGGACAGCCCAGTATTTTACGTTATTCTGTGGGATGATTGCCCCACAGAAATGGAACCAATGGCGGGTTATCAGCAGAACGCCCCGTTCTCCGTCCTCTACAATTTCTCTTAAATAAATTATCTAGTCACCAGACCTCATCCCAGCTTTTACTTGTAGAAAACATTCTAAGACACCTACTCGACTTACTCTTAGAAATAATGGAATCTTTCAGTATCATTAAGGTAAAGCCCAGGATCAATGTTAGCTCTTGTCATATCAGCATCATCTCTGTTTTAAGGGTAGCTGACATTTCCTGGCGGCTATCCTCCAATAGTTTTCTTCCCTCTTAACACAACTCTAGAGATTTCAGATCCTCCTTGATTTTCAAAATCGTGAAATCTCTGAATATTTTCTTCATGTCAGTCTTTTTGTCCTTCAACTTCTGACAGTGTCACCCACCTGGAAGTCCTCTTCCTTGATTTTTTTTTTTTTCTAATCTAGGTGTGAGAGCTTATGAAATTTTTACTTGAATTTCTTAACTCTATTTGGTAACTTCATCCCATTTAAATAATGTTTGTTTTTAATACAGAAGGAGGAAGTAAGTATTTAAAGAGAACAAAGAAGAACCCATTTGACTTCTGTACAATGCATAAACGTTTGACAGACGGTAAAGGAATTCTGATTTACTTACTTTTTTTTTTTTTCTTTTTTCTTTTTCTCTAGTCCTTCTAGAACTCCAGTAAAAGTTGTGCCTCAAATTAGAATAGAACTTGAGCCTGAAGACAATGATTATTTCTGGAGGAGCAAGGGAACAGAAACTATATTGTAACCTGTTTGTCTTTCTTACAACTGACAGTTTTTGTTGTTTATGTTCTTGTTTTTTGTCTAATTGTTTATTTTTTAATTTTTGTTTTGTTTCGGTTTTTGGTCACTGGCCAAACAATACAGTGCTCTCTCTGCTTCTCTCTTGCATAGGTAAAATCAAGACAGTAGTGCACCGTTCCTTAAAAACAACATCTGAAGAATCCCCTGTTTGTTCTTATACTTTCAAATGTGTCCTCTGACAGCCAAATTCCTCTGTCACTCAAGACACACACAGACCCTGTCCTTTTCCTTTATTAAGCAGAGGGCAAAAGTATTAAGGATTTTATAACACCTTTTATTAAAATATTGAAGGAACTTCCACCTTGAGCTTTGGAGCTGTGCTTACTGGCTTGTCTTTCTGTCTGGTTGAACAAACCTTGACCTCCAGACAGTCCCTTCTCACCTATAGCACTCTCCAGGACTGGAAAAAGTGCTGCTATTCTAACTTGCTCTTGCTTATAAACACTAATCTCTTAAGAGTTATCAAAAGAAGAAAAACTAAAGGTACTTTACTCCCACTAGAGAAACTATTGCCATCATTGTAGCAAGTGCTGGAATGTCCGTTTTTTCCTATGCAACTTTTTTTAACCCTTTAATGAACTTATCTGTTGAGTACATTGAAGACTATTTTTCTTCCTAGATTTTGTTGTTTAAATTATGGGGCCTAACCTGCAACTTATTTTTTGTCAATTTTTTAAACTTTTTTTTAATTACTGTAAAGAAAATGAATTTTTTCCTGCAGCAGGAAACATAGTTTTGAGTAGTTCTACCTCTTATTTGTAGCTGCCAGGCTTTCTGTAAAAATTGTATTGTATATAATGTGATTTTTACGTAAACATACACACACACACGTACACACAGATACACCACCTCTAGGGTATGCCAGAGGGCTAGATCAGATTAAAAACACCATGTTTCTAAGCATCCATTTTTCCCTTTCTTTAAGAGAAATTTAACTGTTCTATGAAGGAGATTGGGGGCGGAGGGAGACGCTCCTTTGTAAGGGAATAACTGATGTTTTGATAATAGTAGTATCCGGGCAAAGATGCTGATTGTATTACCATTTTGATGTCCTATGCAGTATTGTTAGACATTTTTTTCATTTTGAAAACATTTGTGTGTTTGTGTATGTACTCTGTGTGTGGCTGGTACACATATGTGCAAGGGTAGAAAGAGATAGAGTCATGGTAGGCGAAGGGCAAAGTTATCTAGCCTCTCATGTCAGTTTTTGTAAAACCCAAACCACATATGAAAAATCCATCAGAGGTCCAGGAGACTTACTGTTATGCAGATGAGGGTAAATATACTTTATTACCCAGACGGCGGTCACCATCACTGATGCAATAGCCCTTATTTACAATACAAAATGCACAGGACTGTGATAGACCATTTTTACATTTATAAAGTGTCTATGAGAATGCAGTTGGATCGCAGAGGTATATATATATACATTTTAACAATACACTTGTCTTTAAGATTGAAAGGCAATTATTCTTTGTGATTGAGGCATATAGAATATACATGTCTATATACGTGTGTGTATGTGTATTTCAAAGTACCATATTGAAAGTTAGAAAAAAGAAAATTAGATCTTTAACCAAATTTAGCATGTTATCTAAATGTAGTGTTTTAATAGGCTGCATTATGTATTATGAATCTGCATTAAAAACAGCGTTTTAAATGTTGAATCCATAATTTTGGATTCCTATAACTATATTTGTGATATATGCTGACTACGGTCGTTGGAGGAGTACTAGAAGCAGAACGAAACCACTTATTTTGGTTTCATAATATGCATATATTGACTCCCACTCATTCTTATATTAATTAAATTACAATTCTGTCCTGTTGAAATTTTGATTATAAAAACTGTATTGTTCTAAATTAACTGTTACTTTTATAGTATCTGATAATCTTAAAACTTCAAATTTTATACAAATTAGACATAAATGACCTACAATTTTTTTCATTAAAATGAAGGCGGCAAAGTGAATGTTATTTGTTAGAACCTCACATGCCAAATTTTGGCATCATGTTTGTTTTTAGAGCTATCCTTAAAGTGATTACTCTGTATTATCTAGTTTTTCATTACCTTAATATAAAACTATATGAAGTTTTTCTCTTTGTTTCTCCTGAGCATCAATAAAATGTTTAAAAGCCATGCATATTAAATTTAGCCTAACCTAGGATCTTGTTAAATTAAAGACACTTTTGTTCACTTTTATAAAAGCTCTAGATAGAATAATTTATTTTTCTGATCATGAATCAAGTATTTGAGGATTCATGCCCCTCTCTGTCCCTTTCAAAGAACTCCTGAAGCAACTTAGCTCAGTATTTCAGCCTTTGAGTATATCTAAAAGCTACCTGCACCTTCATTTATGATCCATATTCTGTGACAGAAGGTCAATACTCATGATATGAATGCGGAGTGGCACCTTGTATTTGCTTAAAGGAACAGTTAGTATCAAACCTTTTCAATATTTTGGAACCCAGAGAAGTATTTTAAAAATCATTTACTTTCAGAGGAACACAGATAGTTACCAAACAACAAACAAACAAACCCTGAGGTCCACACAGAGCCACCGAATTATCTGTATTTTAACTGAATTTACACACTGTCAAAGAACTAACCAGATTTTTGGTGGTTTTGTTTCTCTGTAAACTGGACACAAAGAATACAACAGTAAAATTTTTACCAAGTGTCTCTTCCTGATGTAAATACAAAGAGAAGAGATTCAAGTTGTTAGAAGTAAAGCAGTAAGTGTAGTTGTTAACTAGAAGTCCTGTGGTAGTACAGACTTACCATTGGAAGGAAAGCATCACCAGGCCAAGAGTCTGCTTTATCAGAGCAGAAAGGCCCATGGTTTTGCATTTGAAAGATAATCTTTTGGAGACACTGTTTTCCTTGAAAAACGTCACTCTACTATGTAAAAGAGTGACCAACTTGGAATCCTAATCATTTTGAGTTCCATACTGGGAACTGGAATCATTTTGTGGTCCAGGCAGGCAGTGGAGTGGGGTGGGGGGGTGGAGGAAGTCAGAGATGTAGGGGAACAAACCTTTTCTAGTCAGCCGCCCACCACCTCAAAGAAAGGGGGAAAGAGAAACAATTGTCTGCCGCCAGAAATTCAGTTGGTATGTATTTTTATGCACGTGCACCAACACACACAGAGTAAATCTTTTATCAGCTATATATTGGTGTTTAATACAGAGAACGATTGTCTTCCAAGTTTTTGCTTCTTTTTTTTAAACTGTGTTAAGTACTTGAAATGTATTGACTGCTGACTATCTTTAAAAAACAAAAACAAAACGATTTGAGTTGTATTACAGAGGTTGACATTGTTCAGGGGATGGGACAAAGCTTTCTTCAACCCTTTTCATACCACTTAATGATTTTGGTGCAGGAACTTGAGATTTTCTTATTTATTCCATGAGATTTCACATCCCCTCTTCACAGCATGAGCATGAAGCCCAGTGGCACCAAGTGGCTGAATACAGTCAAATGATATTTTGCTTGGGCCTTGGGAGTTTTTAGATGATGATTTCATCAAGCTTCATTGCAGCCTGAAATAAAAAAGCTTTGTGGTATATGCTAACCAGTCAAGTTGAGTTTTGACCAGGAATTTGGATATGTTCTGTTTTTTGGCTCATTTCTTTGTGCTCTATGGGTACATACAAAAATCCTGAATTCTGTTCCTTAGGCAGATATTGCAACTCAGGGCTAAAGTCATCCAGTGAAATTTTTAGAGCCATAAGTAACTTTGTCCCAGTCCTACAATGTGAAGAGAATGAATAGTTGCCTCTTTTTAGCCATTTTTATGGCTGGTACATATCTGTACACATTACTTTTCAGAATCAATACGCACTTTCAGATATTCTTATTTTTATTCTCTTAAGTCTTTATTAACTTTGGAGAAATGATGCATCTTTTTATTTTAAGTGAAGTAGATCAACATGGTGGAACAAAATGATAAAGTACAGAACATTTCAATATATTACTAATAATTTTTTTCCAATATAAAACCTAAAATTCCTATAACATTATAGTATTTTACAGTTTTATGAAGCTTTCTATTGTGACTTTTATGGAATTAAGAGATGAAGAAGATGAGATATTTTAGCATTTATATTTTTCAAAATTAAATGTATACTTAAAATAAAGTAACTTTATGCATTTATGAGTGTCAAGTGCTTCTGTTCAACTCTTCAAATAATTATTAAGTGCCTGTTATTTTACGTCTTTGAGTGCTGGCGGGAATACAAATATAAGTCCAAGTCCCTACCTCTGATTGCTTTTCATCACTCTAGGCAGGAGGATAAAACAGATGTTCAAATTCTGTAAAATAAGAAGTTGTAAGAATAGCTATTCAAGTCTTAATGAAACAAGGGTTCAAAGCAAGAAAAAGTATGTCCACTAAGATCAATGAAATGGTTTATTGAGAAGATGGTATTGTTATTCTTCTTTTATAAAGTTAGTGAAATAGAAAAATGCCATTTTTCTTGACTCTTTATATGATACTGATGTATTTCATCAATTCTCAAAGCAAAAGAACTAAATATAAGCACTTATTAAAAATTATTCAAATTAAAATCCTGGAATGGTGCTCCACAAAAGATACATAACACAGACTCCCCAGGGTTCCATGTAATATTTACAACCCTCTAGGAAATTCCAGTTCAGTCTTAATTTATAATCAGAGAATTGTGGTGGGGTGGAGGGTGGAGGGTCGGGGGAGCAAATAGGAGAGATGAAAAAGAACCATTGGTACGCAGTAAATAGCATCTGCGTGTGGATAACTACCAAATCTGCACTTTCATCCCAGATTGCTCTCGTGAGCTTCTGACTTACATATGCAACTGATTTTTGAATATTTGTCTTTAAATAACACGTGTTAACATACCCCAATTGAACCATCCACCTATTTCACCAGAACATACTCTTTCTTGTTCCCTATGTCAACAAGTGGTGCCATCAGCCACATAGTTGCTCAAGCCAGAGGCCTAAATGTCATCCGTAATTCCTGCCTCTTCCTCATTTCATTCATTCAGTGAATCACTAGTTCTGTTTTATCTCCTTAGTAGATCTAAACTTTTTATAAATATCTTCATGGCCACTACATTAGTTTAGACTCCATCATCTGTTACTTGGATTAGTGAACTAGCCTCCCACTGGTGCCTCTTCCTCTAGGTTTGCCTGTTGAAAATATATACTCCCTGTCTTGCTTCCAGGATCATTTTATTTTAATGTAAAACTGACTTTTGTGCGTATTAGTGAACTAAGACTTCTCCTCTCTAAAATGCCATTAAAGTGATTGTAAAGGAATTAAAAAAAAAAATGTGGAAGGTAGCACAGAAACTCCCACAAAATTCTAATGATGAAAGGTAAATGCAAGTTTGGATGCTGAAGCAGAGCGTAGGAAGCTGCAGCCTAGAACACGTGTGAAGCAGCCTGCACTAAGGTCATAGATGGACAGCCAGGAGAATCTCAGCAAGGCTCAGACTCAGATGTTGCAGGTAGGACCAAGGATGGGAATGGGAAGTGGAGGGCTGAGAATGGATATTAACAGGTTGTCTGTGTGTGTGTGTGTGTGTGTGTGTGTGGTGTGTGTGTGATATATATATATATATATATATATATATATATATATATATATATATATATCCCCTTTCCTGCCTCTGCTTGCTAATAAGCCTAATACCAAGCTTTTATCTTTAAGTTGAAAAAAAAATCAGAGGGTTTTTCTCTAAGATAACAGAACATATTGCCTTGGGAAAAATTGGGAGCTCCTGTTAAAAAACTCTCCTCATCTGACATTAATGAATAATTATCTTTCTGTACACTCAGGCAAGGCCTGAGAGTCAACAAGACTCACCCACAGACATAAAGCACCCTGCAGATATGTATAGACAATAAGAATCACAAAATGTTTGAAGAAATCCTTTAAGCGTTACTGAGAAAGACTGTGATTAATAGAAAAGATCAATCCTATGAAAACAAGCATTTCAAAGACTGGGAGATAACTTGAGAAAAAATCATTGTAATTTGTTTTACATTTGAGAAAACACCTGTACAAAATTTGAACAGGAACATTTAAAATAGAATAATCCAAGAATGAAAGGTAACACTTGGAAATTTAAAATACCATTCCAAATCTTAAAAGAATTAAAGAATAGTTGGAAGATAAAGCTTGTGAGATATTTCAAAATATAGAATCAAAAATAAAAGAAAAATAGTCCAAAAAATGTGTAGGGTACCAATATATAATAAAGAAAATTTCTCAGAAATGAAGGTTGTTACATATCTTCATATACAAATCTGAACAACTCTGAACAAATAATTTAAAATATATGTGCATAGCACTGTTGGATTTCAGATTACCAAGAATAAAAATTTCAGAACACAAGAATAAAAGAATATCTTTAAATTGCCCAGAAAAAGAGGCCACATACAGAGAAATAAAAACCGAGTTTCTTTTCAACAGCAATTTTGCTTTTCAACAGCAAAATTGGAGGCTAGAAGACATTAGTGCAATGTTTTTTAAAAACTCTGGAGGAAAATAATTTTAAACCGAAAATTTTTGACCCAACTAGCCCATCAATCAAGGTAAGGCAGAATAAAATATTTAGAAGTCATCAAATTCCAAACAGTTTATCTTCTGTTCACCTGCTTCTAGAAAATTACTTAAGAAGGTACCTCGCTGTGAGGGATTTAACTGAGACAAAGAGTCAAGGTTACAAAAAGCAATTGATCCAACCTTACTGAATAGTCAAGTCACAGCATAACAGATGTACATCAGGCCTAGAGGCCAATCGAAACTAATGAGAGAGGACAGAGGGCTTTGGGAGAGAACATTAAAAAAGTACTCCATGGAATGGTTAAAATGACTGGAAACTTGGAAAACTTGAGTGTAAGATAAAGGCATTGAAAATAAAAGGGCAATTAGAAAGTTCTGGAAAAAGAAAAGTTGCACAAGAAAGTCATGGTCTAAAAATTAAGAAACCAGTCCCAATTGGAATAGAAGTTAGAAGACATCAAGGAAAAGAATACACTAGATTCTTAGAGTAAGAATCTGGAAGATATTGGGGATATGGTGAAGAAGGCATGTGTTTATTTTCCCAACTAGAAAACAAAAGCAATCAGAAACTTCAGGAAAAATACTTGTTTTGAACTCTTGATGGAATGGAAGAAAAGAGAATTTACTTGAACTTGACGTTCTCCTATGAGTGGCTCAGGTGTAAGTAATTATATTGAATTTGTAATTATACCCCACTACTTGGCTCTACTAGAATATTAACACAGCCATCATACCAAATGTCTGAACGTATTGGACCTGTATAGGCCCTGGCTAAGGGCCTAACTCTGTGCTTTGCAGAATGTCCGCAGTGCCCTGAGCTGTGAGACGAGATTTGTGGATTCTGTGGCCTTCCTTCCGTGTAAATCATAGAGGGGAATACTCCCCATAGCTTTGTTTGTTGTTATTATTATTTTCTTATTAAATATTATTCTAAAAAAATAGCCATCATGCTAACATTAGAATATTAACCACAGTCATAATGATGGAAACACTATTTATTGGTTTCAACATTCAGAACCAGCCCATAGAAATAACATGGGACATCAAAAAATGTTAGAGAAACACATGCAAATGAGATTACCCTTGACATCGTAAAAGGAGGCTGAAAGAATGTTGGGAAGTAGGAATGAGAGAGAAAAGGTAGAAGTGTGGGAACACAGTATGTCAGCAATGTATTTGGAAGAACTGAAAATTTTTAACTTTGGCTTAAATAGTCTGGGGTTAGGCAGCTTCTGGCTTTTGTTCAGTGTCTAGATGCTGTCAGGGCTGGCATCTCTTGTGATTCTCTTTGTTGTTTCATTCATAGTCACAAGAGAACTGTTGTACTTTCAGTCATCATATCAAAGCAGGAAGAAGCAGGTAGACAGGCTAAGGGCTTTCTCTTAGCCAGCCTTCGCCTTCACATTTGGGAAGGGGAGCTCTGCCCAGCAGACTTCCCCTGTGTCTCGTTGGGTAGATCTGAATTACTCCCCACATTTAGATCAACCACTGTCTAAGAGGAATTTGATCAGCATCTTCTGGGGCTAGGTTGGGGTTGGGTTTTTCCTTCCTGAACCCAGGGTATCTCAGTCTACTATCTAAACAAATCAGGATTGGTGTCAAGGGGTGGAAAGAATGGGTGTTGAAAGGAGCAGAAGCATGGTGATATCTTCTGTTTTGAAAACAAGCCATTCTCCAGCATCTGCAGTGCTGTTGTCTTCTTTTACCCTATTTCACCCGACCTTGAATGTCATGCTGGCCTGGTAAAAATTGAGCTTAGTCAGGTTATTTCAAACGTTGAGACTCAGTGAGAGAATTATCAAGGGGGTGCATCAGTTGAGCAGTAGCCACAGTGGAGCTTCAATTATTGATTAGGTTTCGCAACTGGCAGACACAATTGCTAACTTTGGCCAGAGCCACAAGTAACTATGACTTAGTGGATTAGTGACTATATATAAGCTGTTTTTAAAGGAGCAGCTTTTTGAAGGGTGAGACTGTGATTAGCAGCTATAATTAGAAAAGTGCTGAGTATGTTTTTGTTGCCATGATACATATCCTCATACTAAATATGCAATTTAATACAAAAAGTGTCTTTTTATATAGTGCTTCTAGAATACCATGCAAGCTGACATCTTCATTATGAAAACAAGTTAGGTTTAACATTTCAAGATATTAATTATTTATTATCTGAGATGGGAGGCTTGAGTCTTCCATTAAGAAGCTGCAAAATGATGCTGTTGAGTTACTGGCAGGCTACTTTTTTTTTAGTGCAATCCTTAAGAGATCGAACATATTTCAAAGACTTCTTAGAACAGCTGAGTATGTGGGTGACTTATAGGGACGGAAGTGGAATACAGTGGTTAAGCATCGAGGCTTTGGAGTCAGCTTTGAATTTCAGCCTTGCAAAACCTTCTGGGTCTCAGTTTCCCATCTGTAATTAGAAGTAATAACAGTATAGTATCTGTCTCTTAAGGTGGTTGGAATGAGGCATAAGAAAAGATGTTAAGATACATAAAATATTTAGTACAGCTCCTGTCAGAAATAATACTTCTTTGATTAATATTCCAGCAATTCAAAATCTGTAATCATTTGACTAAAGCCTGAGATAAATTTTATATTTGCAT